ACGTATGGGACTCATTTTACCGTTCCAGGTGGCTGACACTCAAACTACATGAACATAGGGGTATAAGCAATATATCACATAGAGATATTGACACCAAGAACAAAAAAAAAGGAGGAAGGGAATACATGTTCCGAGGGATAGATATAAAGAAAAAGGTAGTGTACCAAGGAGGGAGCTGGGATGAGTAACAGATGCACATGAAAAATTATAAATCTAGAGAAAGGAAAATATCAAATATGAAAAATAAAAAAATCTTTATTAGTGAATGATACTAAAATTGCACAACGGCAAATGCCATGTGTGCTGTGAACAAACAAATAAAAAGAAAAAATCCCAAATCAATGTCAGAAATAGGAGTATGATAGGTCTAAATGGAATTCACCACCTAATAATGTAACTATGACCGTGGTGTGAATATATTAAATCGTACTACCTATTCCAGGATCAAGTAAAAGCATATCACCAACGTCGCGAGTATAAATCTATGCACACGTCTGACAGTGGGTGATATACCAGGAAAAAGCCGATAGCTACTAATATCGGCATAAAATCAATGGTTTCCAGCACACAGACGTGTACAGCAATGCTCTCTGCCTACAGCTATCGCACACGTATGGGTAGAATAAATACTGAGTGGTTACAGGAGCGTGGGGGTATACTACGGATTCGGCTAGGTACTAACATGGAATCCAACTCTCATAAATGGCAGGCATAGGTATATGGATGAGACTTGCTGCCTATTATTAAAGCACCTGTGGCTGGAATGGTGCCGAGAACAACAATCCGGGGTATCTTTCCAAAGGCGCAGGAGATACCATTACATGCCAATAGTGCTAGGTCATAGAGTGAATCAGATATACATTCTACATGTTCTGTATAAAGTAATGGACAATGAGTATTTATAATGTGTATGATGTGGCTGACTGGGTGAAATTTACATGTGTAGACACATAGGTAATAACAGTTCATAGTGTATAACACAAATATAAGTAATATGCTACAAGAGAGTATAGTACAATGAGTTGACCATCTTGGGACACATGGAGGTCTTCTCCTCTGGTCGCCTAGAAGGTGATGGTTGAAGAAAGTCATTCTCTGATTATCGTCGTTTCTAGTGCTGTGGGAGCTGTGGGCTTGATTGTGAGGAAACTAAAGGTAGATCGGTCCAGGCTTGGACTGTGGTGTTTGGGAGCTGCATCACTTCACAAAAGGTCAGGACATCTCTCGCCATCCACGGAGGTTCCTCTCCATGCAGATAAGGCAAAGGGAAAGTTCCAATGGTACAGGATACCATGTGTGATAAGGAGATCTGTAATAAAGCACGAAAGTCTCTTGGCTTGTAGACTTATCCTTGACAGTTTATTGTAGATTTTTACTGCTTGGTCTCCAACACACCATGTACGGGAGAATCCTGCTTTTGACATGATGCCTGCTGTAGTGCAAAAGTCCAAGAGACAACATATATCTTGTGGGGGTGAGGTGGGTGCATGTTTAGACCCTAGAGCCCTATGTATTCGATCAATACCAATGGGTGAGTGTAGAGGACGCCTCAGGACATGGTTGAAGATTAATGGTTTGTGTAAGATTTTCTGGGCCTTCTACTTCCCTAAATCCTCTAATTAGTATGTTGCCCCCCAACAAGCTAATGATGAAAGGGTCTAGCAAGCTATTAACATAGCAAGGGAAGAGAAAATCTAAATTAAACAGAACTTGCAATAAAGAAAGGATAAACTTTAGATGACTCTTTACAGGAAGTGTTTAGGAAGGCTGTGCAAGTCACATGCTGGTGGGTGTGGCTAGAGCTGTATAAACAAAGTTATTTAACTCCTAAATGGCAGAGAATTGAGCAGTGAGGCTGGAGGGGCATGTTATATACACAAAAACTGCTTCATTAGGCTAAAGTTGTTTTGGTGACTATAGTGTCCCTTTAATAACAGCCTAATAAACTGTTAAATTAGGTAGGCAGATTTCCTATAAGGGTAACCGCTTGGATCAGGTAACCTGGACTTAACTCTAAGCTCAACCTATGCCCTCCAGGGGTCCAGCACAGTCCCTCCATGGAAGTCATAGTGATGGTGGGTTAGGTCAGCCACTGTATTGTAACTCTGCAAATCCCGTGTAGTCATCCAGAGCCCCTTCAGTGGTGCCAGGGCCCAGCTTGAGGGGCGTTCTGGTTTTAGTGCTTGAGCTGCCAGCTCCATGGTGGGTCTTGCACTACATCTGTCCACCATTCTGATCTGGGCGCAATGAAGGTTGCCTTCCTCTTGCAGAGACACAGATTGCGGGCACCCAGCATTTGCCGGATCCTGTGTTACAGCGAGTTCTAGGGTTTCCATCAGCCTAGCCCAGGAGAAGTCAAGTGTTGCGCCATAGCGGTAAAGGCTGTCAGAGAGATCCCCGCAAGAGATTGAGTGACATGCGGCATCATCCATGTTATGCATGCTTGCTTGCCAATTGTGTGGTCAACAAGTAAGCCGCATGCCCCCAGCTATGCAGGGGAGACTCCATAGCGTAGACCAGGAAAACCCTCACCAAAGGTGGGGGGGATGGGGCAAAAGTCGTCAGCGCAAGTCAGGTAGGGGGATCGACTGCTTCTCGACTCCAACGAACTGCCTAGGCCACCAGGCCTGCTCTCGGTTTGTCGCAACGTGGACTTCCGAGCACATTAGATTGGTTCAGGACCAGCCAAAGGTCGGTAAGGGTCAGCGATGAGGGTGTAATTTGTGGCAAAGAGCTGTTTTTAGAGAAGTATGTGCCGGAGCTCATACAAGGTTCAATGTAGTTTAATCAATCCAGATGCCCTTAAAAAAAAATTATTACAAGGAGCAAAGAGGGTTAAAATCACCCATTAGTAGGTTTTGCCTTTCGTTTTAGGAGTCCTAATAATCAAACGTGTATTCCTGACTCCATAGTGTACAAAAAAAAAACTATTTAGCCCCCTGAACCCCTTTAAATACAATTTAAAAAAAAATCAAAAAAAAAAAAAAAAATCACTGACACTGCTCCACCTCCTTGGCTGACATCAAAATTGATTAACTCAGCCAATCACAATTCTTTCCCATAGGAAAGCATTAGATTGGCTGATATAATCAATTTAGATGATCTCAGCCAAGGAGACAGAGCAGAGCCAAGCACAGCCCTGGCCAATCAGCATTGAATCAATGCATCTCTATGGGAAAGTTCAGGGAAAGCTTAAAATAAGTGCTGCACGGTGTGCAGCAGTTACTCAGGAAGCACATCTAGTAGCCGCCACTAAAGGTGTTCCTAGCCTGCAACGTAAACACTGCCTTTTCTATAGAAAGAAAGCGTTTACTGCAAAAAGCCTGCAGGTACAGATTATACTCACCAGAACAAATACTTTAAACTGTAGTTGTTTTGATGACTATAGTGTCCCTTTAAGGCTGAAACTGGCAGAGAGCCTTTAAAGGATTGTTCATCTTTCTAACGGAGACCCTGATGGAATATTATTCATAAAACTGGAATAGAAGAAAGGCCTGCAAAGGATTCTAGGTAACGTAACTTCCTTGACCACAATCTGAAGTCAGCAAAAACAGGAGGTGCTGGCGGTAGAAGTTATAAAAAAAATAACCTTGGAAAACCAAAGTGTGTCGTTATTATACAGCTTGCTCCAAACCTCGATCTGTCGCCATGCAATAACACCAGCGATTTTATTATTAGAATGAAAAATGCTGACAGACTGCATCGAACAAGGCAACGCAGCAAGAAGAGAAAACTCCACAGCACAGCACTGCAGAAACAGAGTCCCTTGGGACGGTGTGCAGTAAGCATCACACTAAGCACCAGTGGCCGCCGCGTACTGCGTCCCTCCTTCCATCACCAGCTACTGTGGCCTAAATGTGAAATTCAATCCGAATTCTTGCACTTTATTGACTAGATACCTGGAATAGCCTTCCAGTGGCTGCAGTAACAGTGATATAGAAAGGGTAGTAGATACCTGGAATAGCCTTCCAGTGGGAGCAGTAACAGTGATACAGAAAGGGTAGTAGATACCTGGAATAGCCTTCTAGTGGGAGACATAGTAAAGGAAACTAAGTTCTCGCATGTGGCTACACTTTTCTACAGTGAATAAATACCTTTAATATCTCCGTGCACGGCAGAGCTCCCTATTCCTTTGCTTACATTTTGCAGTTGGTTTAACTATGATGTTTTCACAGATATATTCAGAGTGAATGGCCAGGAACCCAAAAAGAATTTCTAATTTTAACACACATGGCCGGAAAAAAAAAAACCAGTAGGCTTGAATTTTTACAGTTTAGTTATTGCCGCCTAGAATGATCTGAAATTCACTTTTACGAGCACAGAAAGGTGGATAGCAGAATGCAGCATGGAGCGCAGGATGGGTCATGGGGTGAAGGACGGTATATGCCAGGATATGGCATGAATCGCAGCGAGTGGTTCAATGTAAGGGATGATGAGCACAGTATCGGGTATGGTAAATGGTGGATGTCACATGGAGTGAAGGAGGTGGATCACAGGACTGGGCACAGAGTGTAGGATGGGGTAAAGGAGGACTGGGCACGGCGTGAAGGATGGTGTGGAGGACTGGGCACGGGGTGTAGGATGGGGTGGAGGAGGACTGGGCACGGGGTGAAGGAGGTGGATAGCCGGACTGGGCATGGGGTGCAAGAGGTGCAGGAGACGGATCGCCGGACTGGGCATTGGGTGTAGTTTGGGGTGAAGGAGGTGCAGCACAGGACTGGGCATGGGGTGTAGTTTGGTGTGAAGGAGGTGCAGCGCAGGACTGGGCATGGGGTGTAGTTTGGGGTGAAGGAGGTGCAGCACAGGACTGGGCATGGGGTGTAGTTTGGTGTGAAGGAGGTGCAGCGCAGGACTGGGCATGGGGTGAAGGATGTGGATCCCCGGACTGGGCATGGGGTGCAGCACAGGACTGGGCACAGCGTGCAGTTTGAGGTGAAGGAGGTGGATCGCAGGACTGGGCAAAGCGTGCCTGTTGGGACACTGGGTAATAATGAACACAGTTATCACAGTTACCAATTATGGTTTATTGTTCTGCACATATTGTGATTCTTCCTCCGGTTATAATATAACCAATGGTTCCCACAAAGGAACAGAAACTTAGTTAAAATAAAGAAACCTAAAACATGAACACTTAAACTGTCACAATGCTCAGTGCAGCGAGGTTCCAGTGTGCAATATAACAAGCGGCTCTGTACAGGATACATTTATATACACGCATTCTCTCCACTCTGCGTAACAGAATGACTTGTAGCCTTAGATCAGGGAGATCCTTGTGGACACCTTCATCTGGCCATCTCTTCGGCCACAGCTTTATTAATCTTGTCCTTCAGATAGGCGGATTTCTGCCACTCTGACTTCAGATCGAACCACTCATAATACGGCACCTGCAAGAAGGAAGAACACAGGAGGTTATTACCCTCTAACTGCGATGTATCGGGGAGCAGACTGGCACAGGGAAGCAGGAAGAACACTGGAGGTTATTACCCTCTAACTGCGATGTATCGGGGAGCAGACTGGCATAGGGAAGCAGGAAGAACACTGGAGGTTATTACCCTCTAACTGCGATGTATCGGGCAGCAGACTGACACAGCACACATTCGCTCACTGAGACGTACAGATCATACGGCAACGCTCACATTCCCTCACTGAGACGTACAGATCATACGGCAACGCTCACATTCCCTCACTGAGACGTACAGATCATACGGCAACGCTCACATTCCCTCACTGAGACGTACAGATCATACGGCAACGCTCACATTCCCTGACTGAGACGTACATATTACACAGCACACACTCCCTGACTGAGACGTACATATTACACAGCACACACTCCCTGACTGAGACGTACATATTACACAGCACACACTCCCTGACTGGGACGTACATATTACACAGCACACACTCCCTGACTGAGACGTACATATTACACAGCACACACTCCCTGACTGAAACGTACATATTACACAGCACACACTCCCTGACTGAGACATACATATTACACAGCACACACTCCCTGACTGAGATGTACAGATAATACAGCACACACTCCCTGACTGAGACGTACAGATAATACAGCAATGCACACATAGGATCTGTTAAAGCCCCTAACTTGCACAATCATTCCCAGATTCTCCCAATGGATTCACATAGTGTAATAAAAACTGAAATAAATAATTCAGCAGCAGCAAATCCAGCCAATATGACTTACCTCAACCACCAAAAACCCAGCAGCCTGGAGATGCCGCCTGGTCATGGCGAAGCGGCCAAGAAGGTCCTTACTCCGAGAGTTAAAATTGGGGAATTCCCAGCTCACAAAGGCAAACCTGGCAAGGGAGCAAAAATAGGGCGAGATTAGCTCAACAATGCATTTAGTCGATTCATTCACTGCAGAAAACAATCAGCGTGCTGTGTTTGTAAATTACGGATACCATGATACAAGTTTATTACAGGTACCAGGGCACAAATCAGCCCGACAACAACAATTGTACATGAACTTCTGGGTATTACAGAAAATGGCACTTATTACAGGAACACACCAAGCACCATAACAACTACAGTGCCCTGTAGCAGTTATGGTTCCCGACTTCCTCCACCCAATGTAAGAAGCCATTCTATTTAAAAACAGTTTGACTTTTTACTTCGGGTCCATGCCCCACCTCCAGTACAGGATGCAGGCCAGCCAGAGACGCTCTGTCTGAGCTAAGCTTAACACAGCACCTAGCTCACTGACAGATCAGCTGACGCACTACAGAGCTTAGCTCAGGAGAACTAACAGAGGCTCCCCAAGCAGAAGCTCCTGGCTCTGTGTCAGCATTAGTGGAGGCAGGGAGTGGCTTCTGGCACCATACCCACTACATCGGAGTGCTCCTTTATATTTTTAAAATGTTTGCATGAGCACAGTTCTTTCTCTTACAGATGGGAACTCTGATTGCCCTCAATATAATCAGATCATCCTGTAAATCGATCTGTTGGAAAAGTGACGCTGACATTTATTTTTCTAAATGTTCTCCAAGAAACTCTAAAAACCATAACCAATGCAGTTCAGGATAGAGGTCACAGTGCTATTACAGCAACAGCAATATCACACTGCAGATGCCCCATTCAAAAACGGTCGACTCCTTACAATGGGATGGTACTAATGTAGCCCTGACACCATATCCACAACGGCTGTAGTGATTAGCTTGCATTTAGAACAGGCTGGTAGCTATGAAATGTCAATGGTTGACTGTAGCTTAATAAAATATACACAAACTACTGGATTTAATTACAGCCTGGGCAGATACATCAGGGGAGCGGGAGTCAACACGTGGTACGCATTCCCCCCAACTGGATAAACACAGCTACAGATGGCATTTTCACCTGACAGTGGGCCTTACTGGGGGTAAAGCCTCAAAGTTTCCTCAGTACTGTGACACAAACTATTCCACTGCACTAATCAGACACATGCCAACATGTTTATACTGGCACAGCTAGAACTTCAGGTGGCAGAAAGGAATTTACACCCTGCAGCACTTCAACAATGCAGGGCACTGCACGGCCTCAAACATCTGGTTATCCATCAGTCTCCTCGTCATCCCCTCAAAATGCACATAATCAGACGTTAACCTGTCAAGTACCAGAGCAGGAAACGGCTCCCAATAATACACACTGAATTACTGCTGCAGGTTATTCAGGGCAATAATGAAAATATAAATTTAATATATAAAACAGGCGTGATCCAACACCATGCCATGCCAAGTTTGATACCATCAAGCATGATTTAACAATATGGTGGTTACCACTGGACAGTGCAGGATTTGAGCACATTTAATGGACTACCGGGATCAGCATGACCCAGGAAAGACCACCCATAACAGTGTGAGAAGACCAAATAATGGAAACTGTAATTTGGCCACAGAGATTGCAGGAATCAGGGGTCACACTACTCCGCTCACTATGTTTAACCCTTGTTAGTAAAGTTAGGATGCGTCCTGATTTAACCCCTTAAGGACCAAACTTCTGGAATAAAGGGAATCATGACATGTCACACGTCATGTGTCCTTAAGGGGTTAATGACACCTTCTGGTGCAGGTGATTTTACCTCCTGGCTCCCTGCGGTAATGGCACGGTCCCTGGCGGGTGCAGAAGATGTGGTGCTGTCAGATCCTGTAGTGATAAGGGATTGTTCTCAGAGTCCAGGACAACTTCTCCATCTTGACCAAAGAAGAGAACCAATGTAAGAACATGGAGGAACACTCAATGTCTGACATTAAGGGTAAGAAACGGAGGATGGATCGATGGCAGAAAACAAAACATTTACAAAGATTGTTTGTCAGCAGCACATTTATCCTCAGTGTCCACGGGTATGAACGTGTGGCCCATGAGCTGCTGTAATGGTTCCTGTAGCAGCCATTTTGGCCAGCAACGAACACTGACCAGCTCGTGCTGAATTTGACAAGGCCGCAAGGAAACGATTATCCAAATCCAGAGGATTTTGCTCAGTTCTGTTCATGCCACACAAACAGTGGCCAATTTACAAGTAAAAATAACGAGACTACAACTCCGCAATCAGCGTGATAAACATCCACAGGATTATTCTGGTAAACATTCATAAAATAATTCTATTAACAAAGGTAAAGGAGTATAACAGCCAGAGCTGCAGGTCTCCTTTCTCAGCCTTACGTCAGGCCAAGCAATTGCCCAACCAAAGGTATCAAAATAGGTATTCAAACCTGTGTGCTGTGGGACATACAGGGTTAAACAGCAGTTCATTCTACATCTAACATATATCCTCACCAATTGGCCATCCGTACTTCGTTTGTACACCATATCGGCAGGTCCCCTCCACAGAAAACAGGTTCGACAGCACGTTTTTCAACCCAGTCTGCAGAGGTGTCAATTTCCTGTCGCCCATAGCAGCTGAAACAGAGAGGATCTCCTGTGGCTGGAGCCGAGACCCCTCGTAATCCGGAACCTCGAGAAGCGCTGTGGCATTTATATGGGTCAGTTTCTGTTTGTAGTTGGAAGATTTGGGAGAACTGTCAGCTATAAGGAACAGAAAAGAAGACGTCATCTGGGAAATGCTTTAATAGAATAAGAAAAAAAAAAAACTGTAATAAACCATATATCTGCGGCATTTGGCCAAGATAGACACCGTACGGCTTAACCATCATTATTCTCTTACAAAGGGTCTTGCATCCTATGGTATATAAGCTACTCCACGGTCATGCAGTGGTGAGTAAAAGGTACACTGTTAGTTATTACAATCTTGTCTGGCTGAAATCAAGCAGAGATTAAGAATCAGGATCAGGCACCTGGTTTGTATCTGTGAAGCATCTTTTTCATGTCATGTGGCAATTTATTACTGTAAAAATCTAAAATGTGCCAATACGTCTGGTTTTCCATACAGATTAATAGGTGATGTTGTGGGATGGGAGCAGTCTACATTAATATGACATGGAATATTGTTAATGGCAGTTAATAGAGAACAGTCTTAAGAAATGAGAGTCTTATGAATGAGAAGCTGAAATCTCTAACCTTTAACAAACATACACTACCATTACTGGCTCAGGAAGCTGACAGCACACTGCACGGTATGCTACTTACCAAAAAATTTTTCTCTAAACCCTGGCTCCAGGACCCTCTGTATATAGAACCCACTGGCCTGCTGCAGGACACACAGCGACCACACGATGTCCACCAGCAGATACGGGTCCAGCATTTCCAGTCCCCCACGGAGCCGTTGATGAATCTAGAAAAGGGATAGTGACATTCCGGTATTATTTATCTCGGCACACCCAAAAAAAAAAAAAAAAGTTAAAAAGTGTAAAATACCACCAACTTCACAGAGCCAGCCCCTGATCCCCAACCCCCACAAACAAAAGCCAGCCCCCGAATCCCCTCACTGCGCACAACACCCAGCCCCCGATCACTTCTAACTCCACACACAGCCAGCCCTGACCCCACCATCCACTGCAAACAACAGCCAATCTGCGATCACCACCACTGCACTCGAAAGCAGTGCAGACGCTCTCCATGAATGCACACAACAGCCAGAATACTGAACAGAACATGCAACCTCCAAACATATAAGAATCTACTGCTTAAAACAGCCAGCCCCTGACTAATCTATGGCATACAGACACCCCCTGATTGGACTTTATTGTATATAGCTGCCTATTGTTTGTAGCACAATTTTATCCCCAATTACCACTAAGGAAAGAGGGGCCCATGAGCTACCAGATTCCTGTAGCAGCCATATTGGCCAGTAGCTACCAGCAATGAGGTAGTACTGAATTTGACAAGGCTGCAGAATAGAAGCGGCTACACTGGAATTAGGTCACCATGACATCTCCCACACTCTGCTTCCACTGGATCTACAGGCAGAACTGATCTGACATTTCAGCCAAACTTTAAACCATTTTCTTCTTTCCTTCCCATTGACCGGACATGGGACATGTCTTCCCTCTCCCTCATTATAATATTGCATACTAACACTGAATTCACCTTTACACTTCTTCTGTGGATCTGACTATCGGACATATGGCTCACATTCAATACACACCCAGCTCTGACCTAACCCACTGCAGGTTCCAACACTCTGGGAATGGACCCTCCATCTCATCCTCACTAGATCCTTTCACATTACCCCAATTATTCCAACCTCCCGCTTACCAGTTCTTTTCCCACTCTGATCCCACTAGATATTAATGGTTTATTTGCTCTTAGTAGACAGGTCCCATGCTCACTGAGACCTCTGTAGAAATACTGTTCCATAAATGTAATTACCATGCTGTAGAATTCCTCCTTGTTGCTGGGCTGAAAGTTCAATCTGCCAAACGCTAGGATGATGTTACATAGCTGATTCACGGTAAACTTGTCAGTACCATCAATGCTGGCCTAATAGAATGGACAAAAAGCTTCATATTACTTAATTACACAACAGTGCAAAAACCCCCATCAGTCAGACATTGCACTGCAGGGGCTCAATCACAGATAGAATGTAAGAGTCAGTTAGCAAGATACTGGATGTATTCATAAACCATACATATACCATTGCTTAAATATGTTATGTAGGTGTAATTTCATGGACATGTTTACGCACACACACACGTACATTAGTGAGCAATACACCAATTCATACAATAATTCCGTTACTGCGATTATTATTCTAATAAGAATTGTATTATTTTTTACAGTATAGAAAAAACTAAGTTCTAAAGAAATACCACTTGGGCCCTCATTTATATAAAATATTTACCCATGTACACACACACGAACAGCAAGCATTTAAATGAACACACCAAGGACCACAAATACTATAGCTTGCAGTAGCGGTTATGGTGCCAGAAGTTGCCTTGCATAATCCACAGAAAGATGTTAAACGGTTTAAGCCATTTGATACCTTACCCGGGTCCTGGCTCTAGCAGGAGAAGCTGAGTGTTAAAGGACCACTATAGTGCCAGGAAAACACACTCGTTTTCCTGACACTATAGTGCCCTGAGGGTGCCCCCACCCTCAGGGACCCCCTCCCGCCGGGCTGGATGGCGAGGAAAGGGGTTAAACTTACCTTTATTCTAGCGCCGGGCAGGGAGCTCTCCTCCTCCTCTCCGCCTCTTCGGCTGAATGCGCATGCGCGGCAGGAGCTGCGCGCGCATTCAGCCGGTCTCATAGGAAAGCATTCACAATGCTTTCCTATGGACGCTGGCGTCTTCTCACTGTGATTTTCACAGTGAGAAGCACGCAAGAGCCTCTAGCGGCTGTCAATGAGACAGCAACTAGAGGCTTTGGAGGCTGGATTAACCCATTTATAAACATAGCAGTTTATCTGAAACTGCTATGTTTATAAAAAAAAAAAAGGGTTAAACCTAGAGGGACCTGGCACCCAGACCACCTCATTAAGCTGAAGTGGTCTGGGTGCCTAGAATGGTCCTTTAAGTTAGAGCTAGGCAGAGCAGATTCAGGATCACAATCACTAGCTGGAAGTGCTCAGGTCACTGCAGGGACCAATCAGATCTCATTCAGTATGCTGTTATGACTCACCTGCGCAAAAGCTTCAAACAGCGGCATGTTGGACCATTTGAGGTAGGCGAATGACCTCACACAGTGAGATATGTCATGTGCACTGACTTCCGGCACTAAAGGGAGAAGGTCACATGCGATCTTCTGGAAAACCTGCGTCTGGTGGAAATTCAGCTTTCCTTTAAAAAAAAAAAAAAAAAAAAAAGAAGAATCACTCCTTGTACCAGGTTTTATGTTTACAGAAAGGCTACTAAACAGAAACATCTTATAGCAGCCATACTAGGAGAGCTCTAGCAGGCTAGGATGGCAGAGAATCAAATTAATTTTATTTTTAACAGCCAGTGTTCACCTACCGACCATCCCGGGGATGCACAGAGAAATCAGTATGCGTACTCATACATCGCTGTTATGGATTCATTTATCCCCAAATCCCAAAGGAATATGAAAGTGGGGCCCATGATCCATGGTTTATGTGGCAGCCATTTGGGCCAGTAGTTGCCAGGAAGCAGGCAGTACTGAATTTGACGAGACTGCTCTATATGTTCTTCACATTTACAATATCATACCTTAAGTAATTGTTGCTGCCTATCAGTGTGTGTTTGTTGTTATTTAGGGTGACCCTGTCCGGGGCCATCTAACACCGTGTTATCAAGGGCCACACTGTCCTGAGCCATCTAACACCGTGTTATCAAGGGCCACACTGTCCTGAGCCATCTAACACCGTGTTATCAAGGGCCACACTGTCCTGGGTCATCTAATACCAAATTATCAAGGGCCACACTGTCCCTTCAGCTGTCTAGCACTGTATGCCATCAAGGAAACAAAGAATATCTTACCGTAAGCAAATGCCAGGTCGACCAAGATGGCGGGACTGAGAGCCACATGTTTCTGCACTAAGTGGTAGGAAAGTGCACGCAGTAAGGACACTGAGCGACGGTTCTGCGCTGCCAAAGAGAGCATTACCTTACGGATGTCCTCAGGAGTAAAATGTTCAGCTAGTTCCAAAGCCTGGGAAACAAATAACAAAAACATAATAAAATTTAAAACCATGTACTTACGGTTGTATAAAAACCATTTAAATCCACACTAACATTTGTTGGAACGAAAGGTGGATGGATACAAACCTACTCAGACTTATCCCACCAGTATTAAAACTGTTAAACTACCCATTCAGCTTGGGTATAAAGTTTCTACAAGATCACATTACAACTGACAGACATTCCGCGCCATCTTATATGTACATTAGAGATTTTGCTCAGCTGGAATGAAAACTAAAGTTTCAAATAAAACCAGATCACTAGAAAATAAATTACATTTAAATTAGAAATCAAAACTTGAAACATTTTTGGAGTCGGTGCTGATTTGCATAATAGTACATTTTATTACTAAAATGAGTCAGGTCTGCTGCTGTGAGCCATGTATTATGGGTAACAGCTCCACTAGGAGCATTTTGAGAGTGCTGCATTTATATTCCCATACCTTGTCCTCGAGTCGGTCCATAAAACTGCTCGAGATATACCCCACCCTGGTAATCAGAGTCACTACGGTTCTCACATCCTCGATCTCCGTCCATCGTAACTCCAAGTTCTTAATCAGATCCCCAATCAGTTCCTTACGTTCTTTGGTGCGAGGTAACGAGCTGTAAAAATCCACCAGCTGAACCAGCATCTTGAAACCAAGTCTGCGCAATCGCCACCAGACCTCCGTCTCCACGGACTTAAGTGGTTTGGTCTCATTTAACCCCAACGCATGTAGGCTCTTTAGGAGACGAATAAGATTACCATTCCAAACGGTGGAAATCTACGGAGAAACAGATCATTCTTCAGCGCATCTAGTGTAGAGGTGGAAAGGCCAAAGGACCAATTCCAAAATATTGCAAAACTACTTCTCCCTTGATGCTCAACAATACCATGCATTTAAAAGTAGTGCTGCCTGAAAGACCAAAATCTATACAAACTACAGTTAACAGAGCAGCGCACACACAAAAAACAAAATACAGTTTTACACGGCTACTTAAAATCACCTATCTGGCAAACAAATAATGGGCTTCAGTTGCACCATGTGGCCATATTGTGTTAAGCCCATCACTACATGATAGCATCACAATAACGGTGGTTCCTACACTACCACCGATATCGGGGTACTATGACATAGTGGTGGGCTTCATACAATATAGCCACATGCTATAATAACTGAATCCCAATATTGGTGGTTCCTACACTACCACCAATATCGGGGTACTATGACATAGTGGTGGGATTCACACAATATAGCCACATGCTGTAATAACTGAATCCCAGTATTGGTGGTTCCTACACTACCACCGATATCGGGGTACTATGACATAGTGGTGGGCTTCATACAATATAGCCACATGCTGTAATAACTGAATCCCAATATTGGTGGTTCCTACACTACCACCGATATCGGGGTACTATGACATAGTGGTGGGCTTCATACAATATAGCCACATGGTGTAACTGAATCCCAATATTTGTTTGCCACGATAGGTGATTTTAAGTAGCATTGTAAAACACTAATTTTTGTTTTAGTGTGTGTGCTGTTCCTTTAACTATATTAAGACAGGCAGGGCAGCATGAGAGTTCTAATTCTACAACTGGCAGCTGGAACTTACAATGTCAGCACTGGGTTCCTAATAGGCAACAGTGCTCCTTTAGAGCTTTGTCTTTCAGAGACTAGTGATATTCTTGATTTACCAAATAAGAAGCCGGCAAAGAGCACATTAGTTATTATGAGAGATTTGAAGACAGAATGAAATTCTATTATTTACAGAAACATCAACATACAGTATATAGATAAGGGCATTGACCTACCTTAATAGGGCCTGCATACATCCTTCTATTGTCATATATTTGCAGTATCAATATATCCCCAAATTCCATAGAAAGAGGAAAGAGGGGCCCATGATTCTCAGGTTTACTGTCGCAGCCATTTGGGCCAGTAATTGCCAGTAAACAGGCAGTACTGAATTTGACAAAGCTGCCATCTTTGGATGGAATCCTAAAAACACAATCTACATGACCTCATTTTAAGAGCACAGGGAAAGGTACATAAGGGGATCTCTCACAAGGGTCTCAGTTTAATAAGCCTTCACAATGATTCAATAATGTCAGAAAAACTTTCTAAATTATTTATATACAAACATTTCCATAGAATTTAATGGTGACACTGTAGATAAATCATTTTGAACATTTTCTAACAGAATTGAATCATTTGGAAAGCTTCTTAAATGAAATAAATTATCAATGTGTATAAAGTGATTCAACACTAGAAAAACCAGCTGATCCGGCTCAAAGATAGAAATGTAGAAGTCACAGGTCCACAAGGTAAACTATAAACACTCTCAGCCAAGAAGTTCCCTCTTAAAGAAACAGTCTAGAAACACGTCTGCATCTCGCAATTAGTACAAATTGGATAATTGGGATGTGTCAAGTGAAATGCTCTGTGAAGAAAATAGACTTTTGTTCTGTATTTTCTTCTACGTTCAGGCTTTTTCCTACACTATTTTATGCATATTGAATCTATTGGTTCGGTAGTTTGAAACTACAGAACACCGAACACCCTCCTGGCTCATTAACTTCAAAAGAACCGTCTATTAAGCGCTCTCTGGGCGGCCGCTGTTCGTATGACCGAATGCCACGTGGAACAAAAAACGGCGGCCATCTTGTTCGCACGAAAGGAGGCAGCGGGACTTGGTCGTCGAGTGTCTGGAACCAAAATCAGACACTCGACCTCACGAACCACCGCTGAAACTACCGAACGCCTGCTTCCTTTAGTTGCCAAACCGCCAGGAGAGCACCACTCGGTAGTTTTGTGCGTACAGACAAGGGGAGCAATCGCTCCTATGAGCCAGGAGGATCCATTCGGTACTTTTATTAGTTTTTACCTTTTTCTAAATTGACCGACCGCACACGTTGAATTTGTGAAACTGTTTTGGGCAGGAGCCTCGTGTGTGGTCGGTAAAATGTGACTTCCATGCTTTTTAAGAACCCCTGAACCGATCTGGGTGAAATTTGGATATGTTGGTCGGGGGATACCTTGTGTGGAAAGGGATGTTCTAATTTTGGGGGAAATTGTGCGCCCTCTGCCTGGAGATAATTGGTTTATTACTTAGCTTATCTCAATATTTCCCAGGCAGAGAGAGGGCAGGAGTTACTGTAAATCTGTATGTTGATTGGTTATTGTCTTTGTTTGCTGTGGGAGGTCCTCTTGCAGGAGGATTTCTCATAAAAGCCTGTGTGTTATCAATAAACTTGAGTCCTGTTACACCCTTCATGAAGTCTAGGCTCATGTTTGGGGGATATTTTATCTGCTGGGGAGAATCGTCTTGGAAGCTGCATTCATCTACACTATTCCTCTACTTTCTGCTGCAGCTATAATCACTTATGCTCAGCTCTTGGGAAAGGAATAGAAAACCGCAGTACCATAACCACTGCAGGTCTTAACATGCTCCAATCCAGGCATTATCACAGAGTTTAATAGGGTTGTGTGTTCCAGGGTAATTAACGTACCTGACTGTGCATGATCAGAAGGAGCTGCTGAAACCGTTTGTCCTGCAGGACCGTATCTGGGTCAGATTTAGTCTCTGTCACCGTCCTGGAAATCCGGGAAATGATCTGAGCTGCCTGGTTGCTGTTTACATTGTGATCTTTGCTGAGCTGTAAGAGTTCCTCCAACCCGGAGGCAGCTAGAAGGTCAGAATCAAACTCTGTAAGCACCACGGGAGTGTTTAAGTTTTGTTCTTTGGTTAGGAGTTTGTCTGAATGTCTACACAGAGAGGATGTATGGAGGGTGTTACGCAGTAGCAGTGGCTGAGTCAGATGACAAAGTTTCAAACACTCCGGTGCGTGAGCACATGGCGCCAAGACAAGCGATGCTGCGGCTCCGAGCAGGCGGGAGTAACGTTGAACCAAGCGAGCTGCCATCTTTCTCGGCTTTTCAGTTCAAAGTAACATAACCCATAGAGCAGAAAGATGCTCATCTCAACTTTTCTTTCCTACTAGAAGACAATGAAAATGGTCTTCAGTCACAATAATTACATGTTAAATGTTAGAAAGAACCTGCCATCTTAATAAAGACTATTCAATTAAATGCTGTAAATTAAGGTATTCAAAGTGAAGTACCCAAGCTCTAGAAACAAATAAAGCATTTATTGAGGAAAAACACAGAATTAACTGTCTGTAGTATAACTGTATCCTCGTCATCAACATAGATGTGAGGCCCATGAACTACAATTATTCTGTGGCAGCCACTTAGGCCCATAATCACAATGTATATCATGAATATGGAATTTGACATGGCTGCAAGTCTCAAAGAAAAATAAATCAGTCAAAACCTTAAATACTATAATGTTAATGATAGGGAAACAAGTAATCAACTTCCCAGGCATAAAAAGGGGATAAAATATAAATTAACTGAGTTACTCACTAACGTGATATTTGGTAAATAACCCTGTATGTCTACTAACACTAATAAGCACAAGGTTACGTAAACAGTATGCTCTTATCTCAATTCCAAAGATGTGTGCAGCGTAGAATAAAAATAACTATTGTTTCATTATTCAGTAAATTTCTTAACATTCATCTGTTTGTCCAGAGAACTGTTGATGGCTGGCTGACAACGCAACCTCAGTTTATCAAACCATAGTTTGGTTGACATTATCCCTTATGATATTGGGCCCTTGGAATTGATAGCCCAAAAAATATATAAATATATAAATATATATACACATACACACACACTTTTAAAATTATTATTTTGGTGTTGGGGAGGGAGCGGGGGCTCGCCTCCCTTTAATACAGAGTTAACCATGGTAGCCAAACCCCCTACATTCCT